TTTTTTTTTTTTTTTTTTTTTTTTTTTTTTTTTTTTTTTTTTGGTGTCATACCCTGGATTTAGGAGTGTTATAAACTGACTTCTTAAATTTGGCTGTGTCACAGTTTTATTTAGCAAGAGCCAAGCAAAACAGCCCTGGGCACCCGGGGAGTCTCCTGCTCCAACAATGGCCCGCACCTCTCAAGGAATTTTGTCCTAATTTTATACTACAAAGCATTGCATATTCATTAAACGCCTATACATATACATTACCTAAACCCGCCTACTCCCGCTTCGTATGGTAATTAGCTTATCAGGCCTTTACGCCTGCACAGATGCTGCTGAAAATTACGGGTCCGGGTCTTCAAATCATGGGCAGTGGTCTTCGGGAGGAAGGCCGTAGGTCCTCCTCACAGTGTACTTTTCACCCTTTGCCTGGACTGTGATGATTTTACAAGCTTGCAGTGTCTTATCAGTCTAGGCTCATTACTGGTCTTGAGTAAGGAGATTTATGGACGTCCTTGTTCATGCTTTATAAAGTACAGACACTTCTCTCTCTTGTTGCCCCCCCCTCCCCCTTTCTTTCACTCTTTTACACAATATCATTTTATCATGTGAGTTCAGTTAAGCACTTGCTGTTAGTTCTATATAATGTGCAATAGTTCATATGACAGTTCACCTTTCTATTGTCTTTTTGCTGATTTTGATGAACAAACAGTGTACCATCCATCACAGGAGGATCTCAGGAGGAAGAAAGATCATACACAGATTTCCCAAGATATTAAAGATCCATGTAATAATGCACTTTTAAAAGACCCATTTCAGTGCAAGTTTGAACCACATATTTTCTGCTTAGTGCTTACTAGTTTGTTGCTGGCAGGTGGATTTAAGTATTGCCTCAAGACCTTAAGATCATTACATCTGTCTTCTTACCAGCACTGTAAGAATGTGCATTATCTTCCAGGTCAACAAAAGGATATGTTGCAGAAGCCAATTTCTTATAACCCTGGTAAACTTCAACTCCACTTGACCACTAGGGAAAAAAGCTTTTTAGGCTTTACTTGATGCTTCGTCTCCAGGCAGTTGTCTGCCTCCAGTTCAGTAAGAAGCATAGAGGCTTGCTTGTCTTCTTCAGCAGACCCCTGTGTGGCTCCAAGAGATTTGGAACACACAGATAACAACGTGCATCAGGTTTTTATTGCCCAGTAAACATTTGGCTACCTAGCATGAATAGAAACACTTACAAAATAATGTATGTATATTAATGTGACTTGTTCATATGGATTTTTGAAGTGGATTATCACAGTAATGAGAATTAACACACACACACACACACACATATATATATATATATATATATATATATATATATAAAACTTCTGCTTTTTCTCTATTATTACATAGTATTGAGCTTTTGCTTGAAAATATAGTCCAAAAAATGAATGATGAAAACAGCTTCCATCTCACTGGTAAAATAGCTACAAACGAAAAATGTTTAAAAGGTCCTCTGAAAACAGAGGAACTAAAGATGTCTAACAGTTTAATTTATTTCAAATTAATTCATTATCAAAGGGCTTTCAGTTCCTACATTTTACAATCTTTGCAAAATTGAGAAAGGTGGAGGCCAATCTCAAAGCCTGCAATTTAAACCACCTACTGTCTTTCCATATTGCAAAATTGGAGTGTATTACCTGTCCTCACAACTAAAGATCTAGATTGTATATCTTAAATTGTATTAGAGGAGGGTCTTTCTCCCAGGGCTGACCAGTCTCTCAGGACACATGCTAAGAACTGTCTTTGCTTCTTAATTAAGTGGTGATTCTTACATCTTTTCCTCAAGCATGTTTTCTGTTACAAGGCTCAATCTAGTATTATACTCCTGTCTCTGTAGTATCCATTAGCTTTCTCCCTTATGATTTTACAAATTGCATCTTCCTTCTGATACTGTGTGTGTATCCCAAGGATGTAGTATGTGTATGTCCATGCTGTTACCACCAACAATGAAATAATTGGAATTTCCCAGATGAGCATAAACAGTGGCATATAGGAACCTGCATTTTGTTAGACTATTTCTCTTGGCAGACCATTTAAAAAAAAAATCTTTTAACAAGCCAAATTACATTAATCATCAGATTATACTCTAGGATGCTGTGCAGGAGAAGCAAAAGGAGAATCCTTGTTTCCATCCTACAAAATTGGAGGCAAGTCCTGTAAGATTGCTATTTCATAAATTCAAAACTAGAACCAGGTACAGAGGAAGTACTACTGTGTGATGGTCAGGGGAAATGAGAACAGTATTACAAGAGGAGACTATAGAAGCCCCACAGGTTTTGCCTAGCAAAACAAGGGCCTATGTTGTTGCTCTTTAAAAGTGTTTAGGAAGAAGAATGAAGAAGAGACTTTTAAACTAAAGGACAGTGTTGACCCAAAACCAATGGGACACAAATTATGCTAGATTGTAAATAACCTAAATAAATTTAGATTGTAACTCAAGAGGTTTGGAACCAATTTTGGAAGGATGTCCTTGGTCAACGGGCCCAGAGAAAATAGAGGGAAGAGGTATGGCAGAAAAGCTGGCTTTGGGCTCGATACATTTTTCAAAAGATATTAAAGAACATGGGTTGTCTGTAACAGAGAGCAGATGGTCTAAAGGAGTAGTGAAGTCCTTTCTAGTTGAGTATTTATTCCCCATTTTCAGCTCATCAGTACCCCTTTGTACAGAATTAAAAAACTCTCCTGTGGTGCTTCTTGACCATGCTTTTATGTCCTCTAAAACCCTTTCATTTTCCCTGAAAAATTACAAACAGGAAACATTAAACATAAAATCTAGGTTACATTTAATGCTTTTTTGGTATTATTATGTGTATGTTAAGTCCGTATAGATAACTTCCATAGAGCAATTTTTTCAGCCCTGAAACTACTTTATTTCACCTCCCATTTGAGTTGTAAAATCTTTTTTTTTTATTTTATAAAAACCTAGATCTTCATTTTCAATTTTTAGTTCAAATAAAATAATTATACTGTTGTTACTTTTTTGACAGCAAGAAGAATACATTTCAGATGAAGCACATATTTTATTCTATTTTAACTGTTTGTGTTTCCCTAATTGCAAGAAAAATTCAATGATGATCTTTTTACAGACTGATAAATATTTTAGCATAGATTTTCTGCTAGAAAAAAACATCCAAGTGAAGGGTACAAGACTGGCAGGCTTGTGTCTTGTCTACGCAAAGCTTATATTTCTTGTAAAAAGTCTTTCTGTTGCTGGCATTAGTGTCTCTTCATCCAAATGCATTTGTTAAGCAGTCAGTAAATGATTAAGGAGCTGGAGGGACTGATTTATGGAGCAAAATTAATTGAACTAAATATGCATCGCTCCATTAAGTGACAACTGGAAAGTGTGGGAGAACTTGATATAGTTGTCTGCAACTACCAGAGGGGTGTAAACAGCAAGGAGAGAGTATAGGCTTCACTTTACAGCCAGATACAGCTGTGTTTTTTTTGTGATCCAGATTGCCCATCATGCTCCATCTTGAGGTGCTCTAAGGGGTGAAATGCCTGCGTTAGTCCCAGAAAACCCACACCAAAGATGGCTTAGGGTACTGCAAATAGCTAAATAGCTGTGAAGCCACTAAAGACTGTTGTATTTTGTATACACTACAAAAGCTAATGGAGTGAAATGTAAAATTAGGGAGCTCTAGATGGGAATATCAAGAATGGCAAGCTTCCTTATGGCAAGATAGATTACTCTGAAGAATGGGCTTCTAAGGAAAATTACAGGCAAGGGCCATTTCCTGGAAATCCTTAGTAGTAAATTGGTCCTAAGACTCAGGTAGGCAGTATAGTGAAAGGGTAGTGCTTCAGCAAGTGTTCCTGAAATAGATCCTTTTACTTCCAATTTCTGTGCTTCTGTGAAGAGAACTACATGCTGGTAATTTAACAAAATACATCTCATCCCATTTCAGCCCTTCTGTTAGCAGTTGGACTATGCTCTTGGGGCTTCGGGGGAGTCTAGCTCAGTCGTAGAGAGCAGCTTGATTTTTAGCTACTCAACATTATTGTCGCCCTTTTCTTTTGAGTCTCCATCTCAAAATACTTTTTCATAGTTTAAACAGTAAAGGAGAGGAAAGTTAGTGATGCACTGGATACACATGAACCATCCAGCACAGAGCATAACATTTTACTGTGACCTAGGTGAATCTGCAGCACTGTGTTTTTTACCATTTCCACAGGTACTGTTTACTTGTTTGTCTTGGCTCAACTGTGGCTACTGCTGATAGCATAATTGTGAGCTGTGGATTGAGAGTTGTGCAAGGATTTCCCAGCAAAGAGCATTTATTCTGACACTGAGAAAACAGTGTAGTGTACTCAAGGTGTAATTAGTCCTGTGCGGGGTGCTGTAGATAGGAACTGGGCAATATATAAGCCTGTGCTATGTGCTCCATGGCAGGGCAAAATTTACCTTAGTTGAAGATGTGTTCTGGTCCCTCCTGGTAAGTATCCTGCTTTGATACCTATGGTACCAGTTTACATACAGCCACGTAGCATGCTTTTTTCCCCAAGTTCACTAGTCAGATGAAAGACAGAATTTTACCCTCTCCTGGTTCCTTTGTCTACCAGCTCTAACCTTATTTTGCAAGTTTGAGTGCCATCCAAAAGTATTTCTAAGTGAAACAAAAATAAACAAGCTTTTAAATATTTTATGTTCATACTTTAAGGATGATTGACACATTTTGAAGAGGAAAGCAGCCTACAACACCTAAATTAAAAATAAATATTTATGTTCACATTTGTTCATCAGCTTTCCAAAATGTAAAAATATTTTTCATGTTGTTTTAAATAATGAAATGGGAAACAAATGAAAGATAAACTTTCTACAAGCTGCAAAGAAATAAGAAGACAAAGTCTTTGTTTATAGCTTAGACTTCAACAGTGCCCTTTGACAACTAATACAAATCTTAATTATAAATGGAATTATACATTTAAGAGCTGTTCAAAAAAAATGAATATTTTTTTTTCTCTCTGGTTTTCTTTGTGATGGTTTTAATTAGTTGCAACTCTTTGAACAATCATAGACCTTGACTGCTCCTCAGACACTGATGGAAGTTGTTAACTTCAGATGGTATCTATAGGACTGCAGAAGTCTGGGTTTTCCTCTGAACAGCATGCTCCCCATTGCTAAATTTATTCCTGGATATATCAGGATTCTGCATACATGCGACTTAATTGAGAAATCAGCATTGTCCAATAACATTCCAGTGATTGACATTAGGACACAATAAATTGGATTAATAGGCTGCAGCATCCTACCCACGCTGTCAGAACTTTAATGGACTACTGTAACAAAGTAAGCAGCTGCAGGGCAAATGTGTTTTGAAAAATAACCCAGTCAAATAATATGGAAAAACAGTCATAAGAAATAATGGCCAGCCATACGTGGTATTTTCCTCATGATAATCAGGAATCTTGCCTTCAAATCAAACAGAGAGTGGAAAGGAAAAGTCAGTTTCCAGTGTGAAAACTGCTATACATCTGCTGCTGATTTGTATATGGTTGTGGGGAAATGTATCTTCCCATCTTGACCTAAGAAAACTTTATTTTTTAATTCCCTATGGCAAACTGTTCAAAAAAAAAAAAGTGCCTACCAGAAATAAGAATTAGAGATGTCTCTTCTATCCCAGTTAAACAGCCAGATCCGCAGGTGGAGCCTTGGTCCTGCATCAGGATTCACCCTTGCAGTGGGAAGAGAGGAGGGCGCTCTGCACCTGTGGGAGCCATTAAAGGGATGAGGACATATGTGACAGAGCACTCTTGGTGTAGTCTGTGAGATTGGGGGTTGAGGTGTCACAGCCAAATTTATGTTTATAATAAATGCTGACATTACAATATAGTATTCGGGGGAAGAGAAAGTTTCTGCCTGGGATCTATGACTCACTGTACTTGGCAGCACACAAGCTTTCATACATGAGAGCTGTATACCTGACTTGCTGCTTGCACGGACTCCTGTGGGAGTTTGATGCATAGGCTGCTTAGGAAAGAAGGGCATCTGTTGACTTCGCAATTTCAGGATTTAAAGTTGTATATGTTTTAAGAACTGGGAGGAGGGGTGGGATTATTTTTGATGCCTTCCACTGCTGTGAAAAGCATACACATTAGTGCAGAATGATAGGGACATGCCTCGGAGAAATGTTGTACACAACTGTGATATGGGCTAATGCTTTTTCAAAAATTAATCTTGTTTCAGTAAGGAAAACTGAAAAATTAGTCATTATTAGTCATCAATGCAAATGAACTAAAACTGCTGCTCTATTTTACTTCTGAGTTGTTATTAAACATAAACTGTGCCATGGAAATTAAGTGAAAGGACATAGACTACAAAGCCTAATCACTGGAATGTGACCTAATCTTTCAAACAGAGATACTGCTGCATTGATCTCTTGTTTGTTGAATTTCAGACAACTTAAGCAGAGCCATAGAAGAATGTCACTCTGATCTCCAATGGAATGGAGAGATGCAGCAAACACAAAGGTTTTCATGGAGATGAGAGCAGATACCTTCTAACACTGTCTTTCAAACTTCCATTTCAAATGACAGTTCAGGATGCAATGGTAGTTTAATAGTAGATGCCTTGTAAGAATCTGTGCAAGTCTTTCCTCAGTTTTTTTTTTCTCTGATATTCCCTCTTTTGTCACTTCCTGCCTATCAAGTCTAAAAAAAAATGCATTTTTAAACTATTGATTGAATTAATTTAACTACTAGTTAAACTATCCCACATTTATTAACTATTGATTATAGTGCAGTGGCATCCAGGAACCCCATGGTTTAACAAGTCTGGCCGTATAGGAAACCAAAGAGAGAGATAAGAGGACACAGTCTTTTTCAAATTTAATTTGTATGCACTTGCTTTCTCAAGGTCTTCACAAGATAATTACACAGAAAAGCAACAAAGAGCACTTGGGATAAATTGGCTAAATGTGCATATGTCCAGAAGAAAGAATTTTTTACTTCTGAACAGAGTTAGCTATTGAAATAATAATGCACACTCTTTTTGTTACTCTTTTTAATATCTCTGGACCTGATTTTTAAGTTAGTAAAAAAATGATACTGTTTTAAAAAATAAACATCCTATGAAAAAAAAATATATAATATATATGAAAATAAACATACCTATGAAAATACATGCTGGAAATGATCCTCATCTCATTTAAAGTGTTACAGCTTGCTTTCTTTAACTAGATTACAGCTGATTTCTACCAGTTTAGGGTTTTGATCCTTATTTTTAAAACATCCTGAAGTGACATCTCTCTGCCTCTTAACTTCAAGAGTATCAGGATTTTGCATACCACAATCTTCATAAGATTTTCAAGTTTTTGCCACTGTAAATGTCTTCTTTTTCTTCCTATTAAAGCAAAGAACCGTGGGATTGCAATTCCAGTGGATTTGGACAGCCAGGTTAACACTTTGTTCATGAAGAGTCACTCTAACATGGTGCAGAGGGCAGCCATGGGGTGGAGAATATCAGCCCGCAGTGGACCTCGTTTTAAAGAAGCTCTTGGTGTGCCTTCCTGGGATTACAGGAATATAATAGAAAAACTGCAGGTACAAAAATAGCAAATAGCTTGAATGGTACATTTACCTAATATATGCCAGATGTGGAAAATACATTAGACTCATTGCATTTTTAGTGCTAGATTACAGTGACCTTTGCACTTCTAGATGGGGGGAGCGGAAGGCTCAGCTCTTCTCTAGTGTCTGTTCAAAGTGAAGCCAACATGCAGAGCCTTTTGATCCATGATCTGAACTCAGCTCCTACAGAATTCAGTAAAGGGGTAGGAAGTATGTTATTTTCCTCGAAGTGGTCCACAGAGAAGGATCTCCTTTCTGCCTTTTCATGGTCACATGTCCTGTTCTGGCTGCAGAGGAGGTACTGGTGATTTTAGGAGCCTTTATGTCACTGGAGATTGCCTATAAGATGGAGATCACCTTGTGCATGTAGTGGTTAAATAACATCAAGATGTTATGAACCAAGGAAACAGCAGACCCAGACAAATGGAGGAGCCCTAAAACCAAGGAGGCAACACCTCAGGTTATACACTAGCACCACGTATGTTTTTCCAGCACACCATTATCCTGACTGTTGCTGGGTGTTTTGTGGCATTACTGTAGAGGATAAATTTGAAAAAGAACAGCAACGTAGATAGTAATGGGCACATTCTCTCCCTTGCCCTGCTTGAGGAGTGGCGTGAAGAGAGGCCTGAAGTTGCTTTGCTGTCACCTGTGTTAATAAGGGCTCTTGCAGCTATCAGAAGTGGGTCAAATAGCCCATTGCACAGTATTGTGCAACTCCACAGCCATGTTCTTCTAGTTTTCTTGTAGTTATGAATGTCATTAATATTTCTTCCGTAGGACATAGTGTCCTCTTTGGAGCAGCAGTTCACTCCCATGATGCAAGCTGAATTCTCAGTGCTGGTTGATGTGCTGCACAGTCCCGAACTTCTTTTTCCTGAGGGGAGCGATGCCAGAGTAAGATGTGGTGCTTTCATGTCCAAGTAAGTGGTGTAAGGAGGTGCCTGTTTGCTTCTTTGGAAAAGGTGGCAGGGAGATAAATTTTTCAACAGCACTTACCTTGGATTTTCAACAGTGACTTAAGCATGTAGGTGTCTGAGTTCATACTGAAAACTTAAAACTGAGGCTTTTTGCTTCATGTTTTATGTTTCTCAGCAGTTTAGGAGTCTGGAGAGGAGTAGAGAGAGAGGTTGCTTGCCTTGTCTCACTAGAAATGGGATGTTAGTAGCTTGTTAAAATTGTGGCAGGCTCAAACTACTTATGTTTTCTTAACAGGCTACTTTTGCTATTAATTTTCTCCAAATCTACAGCAGAAACTTAGACTTTCCATGGTAGAATTTTCAAGAATTCATAATGAGGCTGGTTGCTCAGAGCTAATCGTTTTTTGTTTTATTTTGTTTGGGGTTTTTTGTACAGCAAATAAATCTTTTTATTTTTATTTTGAACTGCCAACAGTTCTGTTAAAAATACATTTCACCATCCCTACCTGGTCTTGAATTATTAGATGTTTTATTTGCAGTCTGTGTATTAGAATAGAATCTTGAAATTTTTTTAGTAGTTCTCAAGAGAGATGCCCTCCCTGTCCTTGAGAAACTATGATTTAAACATAGGTAACTTGGGGGAAATGAACACATTTGGCAGCTCTCCTGATTCCTTGGCTTTTTGCATATTCTGCAGAGGTAGCATTATAACAATATACTTCATATGTTTGGAAAGATTAATCTAAATTTTGAGCTTGTCCCACTGCATGTCCTCTGTTCAAACTCCTGTTCAAAGTTGGCATCAAATCAAATCTAGGGCTGCTGGACATGGCCCATGTAATGCAATAAACAGTTTTCTATTTTATTTCATTAACTTCCATGGCAAAGGAATGCTTTGCAGAGCTATGCAGAAATCCTGAGATAAAGATGTACTCTAAAAATATTGTTAGTACTGCAGGCCTAAGAGCTGCACTGTTTTGGACTCATAGCTCATGAAATTGGTGAAGATGACAGTGGGAGAGTCCTGCACAGTGTCTCCACTGAGCCCAGGATGGTATTAGTGTACTAATCCCTGGAGATATTTAAAAGATGTGTATCTGTGGCACTTAATGACATGGTTTAGCAGTGGACTTGGCAGTGTTAGGTTTGTGGTTGGACTCAGTGATCTTAAAGGTCTTTTGCAACCTAAATGGTTCTATGATTCTAATTTATCAAAGATCTAAGTATAATCAGTTCTGTTAGGTTACAGAGTGCTGGTCTAGATGATGCAGCGTCAGCCCTCCCAACCCTGTTTTTGGTGACTGTTTGTGATTTAGCACCATTAATGATGCTATCTTTATGTGTAAATTGGTGGCAACAGTGCTTTTGCTGTATGCTGATCCTAGGCCATAATCTGACGAACTCATAATCCACAATAAACCAGCACTGGTAATGAAGGAAAAAAACCTGTCCAAGTCCTTCAGATTTCCTTCCCCCTTCTCTTTTCATAAATGCTTCTCCAGCAGTGTGTGAATCAGTGCAAGGACTGCTCTACACAGAGATAGAAAGGCTGCTTCTGGTATTGGCTTAAACTGAATAACATCCAAACTCCCATCACGGTCATAGTTAGAGTCAGAAATGTACCTTGATTTCTGGCTTGAAACAAAGAATCTTGTAAAGTTGTTGTGCAAATATAAACAATGGTTATGTTTCATCCAAATGTCTGCCTTTCTGAATGCCTCCACGTAAGGTTTTTGGGGATCATTCTGCCTTGATGCCATTTGCTAATTACATAATAAATATAACCGTTATAGAAGTTGGAAGGTGTAAAGGTTATAGCTTTGAAAGTTTGCAAGATGTATGGTGAATGCTGGTTACATTTAAATAAAGGTTAAAATAAGTTACCTTTAAATGAAGAAAGGATGAAATAGCTAGTTTGGATCTTAATCTGGAAGTAGGCATAAATAGTGGATGTAGACTTCTGCTTTCTGTATGGGCAGTACGATACGCCATTGACTCACAATACGCCCAAAAACTCACAACACCTTGAAAGTCCCTTTTCCTTTCTAATTATTTCTTTTGTCTACTTTTATTACCTTTCCTTGAGGAAAAATATAGTGACAGGCAATTTTTGCATACAGAAAGTGTAGTATGTCTTAGCAACGATGTGCAATGCTCTTTAAGATTTAATATTTTATTTTAAGGTTGATTAATCACACAAAGAAGCTAATGGAGAAAGAAGAAAAGCTCTGCATTAAAATTCTTCAGACATTGCGAGAAATGCTTGACAAGAAAACTAACTTTGCGGAAGAGGTACTGCTATTACTGCTCCGTATTAGTATTAAATATAGAACTAATAGCATGGTATTAAAATGTTGGCTCTAGGACAGTAACAGAATCTGACATGATTTCAATTTTGTACTTGTTATAACGTGGTGTTTTAGGAACAATGTGGTAAGGTGGAAAGTAAGACTGGAACAAAAAGAACTATCTGCCTTACATAGTTTTGTATCAGGGTCTTGACAAGAGTCAAGGCAAGAAAGATGAAATTAATTAGCAGTAGTGAGTATTACTATATATTATTATTATATATCGGATATTCTGTATTTCTAGAGACTAGTCGTCTTATGTCACATCTGACTTTATCATAAAATCAGTTGGAAATATAGGAATTTTTAATTGCAAGTGTACAGTTTTTCCCTGCTGCCTGTGGTGCCAGACCGTTGTACTCCATACAATTTTTAATGGTCATAAATGGGTGACAGCAATATGGTAATGTTTAAGCAGAGCTGCCAGTTTTGGGGAGAATTAAATAGTCTGCACTCTCAAAGTGTCTAATTATTTTTTGCATTCTTCTCTCTCCCCTTATTGCCCAGTTTTCTCCTGCAAAACCAAGTTTTTCGAATACCTCTTTCATCTTGCCTGTGCCTTTGGGTATCAGTAGCTAGATTCAGATTTACATGTCAGCTGCCCCTTCCTTTTGAGCCTATCCCTGTGTCTTTTGTGTGGTTTCCTCTTACCAGTATTTCTGAGTATTTCACAAATTCTTTCAGTATTATTCACTCTTAAATATGAATCATAGAGCTAATATCTAATCTCCTGGTGCCATCAGTTTCATTTGTTCACAGCTGACATGTTTAGTCAAGTATGTTCATGGGTTTCACTTTGCCTTGAGAAAAAATATTGATTACAATCCAGTGTCACACTGTTTCACTGTCTTAAGCGTTTACACCCAAATACTTTCAGATATCGAAGTAAGAGCACTTATGTTACTGTACCTGGCAAAATTATCCACCATTCAAGTATACTAGCTATTAGATTCAATCTTAACCCCAATCTAACCTTAAGAAAGATAAAGCCTGTGGTGCTTAAGATGCTCATGCCTATTTCTGGGTGTTTGAGATTTTAATTTTAAAATTAAATGTTTTGGCCCTGTTATATGATAAAGTACCAACACATTATTTTCTCTTTTGTGATAGATGAGCCATATATTAGAAATTGGAAATATTCACACTGTCTTTGCTTTGACTGTATATTGTTTGGTTTGATTTCAACACATGGACATGGGAACGTATTGCCCAGACTTCTAAGCAACCTGCTTGACAGGATAAAAAAAATCTCAGAGCAGAGAAGTGAGATGAAGACAAAAGCACCGATAACAAAACATCAGCCCTGTTCTACAGAAAAACAACCAGTGCACACAGAGAAAACCAACCTCCTTTTCACTTCCTGCTCAAAAGCCCAGACAGACAAATTTTTTTTTTAATGTTGTAACAAGAGTTTCAAGGGTGAAGCAGATATTATTCTTAATTATTACTCATACTTATTCTATTATATCTTTCTGGGTCCATAATGCCACAACATCACATGGAAGAACTAATTTGCTTTAGTAACTGCATGCTATGATGAACTTTGCCAAACCTCTCCAAAATAATTGCACAGACCCACCAAAAATTAACAATGTCTCAGGACTACAGGGGGAAAAAAAAAAAAAAAAAAGCAACGCTGTAATGTATGACTTAAAACAAGCAAACAAAAAATGTGCCTGTTTTAATCGCCCTTTGTACCCTGTTGTGGATGCTGATGAAGTGAGTGAAGCCACCAGAGGGTGTGTGCTCCATTGGTAGGTAAGGGGCTCTTCACCCAGCCAGCTCAGCCTCTGGTTCTCTGGAGTGGACACAGGAGGTGTATGCCCAGACCCCTCATGTGAACTCTACCATCTCGGTAGGGCGTGGTGGGTGGAAGACCTCTTTGGGGAAACTGAATTTCTCCCTTGTGTTTTCTCTGGAGTCCCATAGATTTTACACTGAGGAACCTAATGAATCAGTGCAAACAAATAAGTGAGTAATCAAGCATGTATGGTTTGCAAGTGCTTCTCTGGCTTGCTACTCTTCTGAGTCATTGTTCATGGTATGAACTTCAGACTAGTAAAAATATCACAACGAATAGCCTCTTGTGCGTGTTTCCAACTTTTTTTGAAATGTGATCTCACTGTCTGAAAAGTTATTCAACTATGTTATGCAGATACTAAAAAAAAAGTAGTAATAAATACATAATGGAAGTACCAGAACAAAGCCACAGAGGAATATTTTGACAAAAAGCCTGAGGAGGAAATGCATCATGATGTATTTTGTGTGATAAATTTGACAGAAATGGTAAACCTCCATTTTCTGCAGACTTTCCCACAGTGAGAAAGAAGGAATAAATAATGAAATACATTTCTTCCTCTCGCTTTCTCTTCCCTTTACCTTCCACAGTTGAGATCCAGATCTGGAAACCTTGCCTTTCTACTGTCTTTATCTTTCATTTGACCACTGGAAGGTGGCATGTTTCATTGAAGGAACGGGAGGAAATGATAGCTGTAGGTGCTTATTTCACTGGTTTTATGTCTGTTCCTGTTTCCACTGTCTCAATTCTATTGTTGTGTCTCCCCTTGCTGGTGTGTTTCAGGGCTGCTTGTGCTCTGCTGGCTCCATCCTTGGCTGCCCTTGCAGTTAGCCTTTGAGGCAGTGCTTGCTCATGTGTTGTTTTTCATAGTGCAGCAATATCATGTTAGGAATCAAAGTTTAATTTCATAAGTTTGATTTAAGGTATATAAATGACACATAAAACCTCTTGGTCATTGATTGGCTTTCATAAGTAATTGTGGGTGATTCTTACAATCTCCTGGGAGTTCTGTGTTGTCCTATTTGTACTGATTAGGTAACTAACTGGAATGAAACTGGACCTACAGCCCCTCTCTTACAGAAGGCTCTTCTAGAATAATGTTAAAACACTTGGGTAAAGCAGTGTGTGGAAGAAGTTGATGTTACCTCTGTTCAGACAGTTGCTGTGGTCTAGATAAAAGTCTACTTTAGACTGACTGTTCAAGAAGAAAAACAGGAGAAACAGAAAGGACTGTGTTTGAACTAGATCTGCCACATCTGTGTTTGCTTTTTTTGTTGCTGACCATTTTTGTACCCATTTTACAAACCCAGAAGGATCTTGGTTTTGATTTTTTCAATTTTTAAGGCAGGTCTTTTTTGTCTTTCACCATAGTGCTTGATTTCACTTAAATTTTTGTGTGAGTGCTGCCTCTAGACCTACTTACATGTCTCAGTTTGAATCTGAGCAACATTTCCAAAGACACCTGAGACACGTAGACCACTGATCCATGTTCACTTGGCAAATGACTGGAGCAATTTAAAATCTTTGCATTATCTTGCTGTCCTGCTGAAGGTGACTCTCCCTACAAAGAGCTGGTGGGCCAAGAGGGTTGAGTACTCCCAGCTGCTTCAAAGAGGGCTCAGAAACTTAAATTAAACCCTCCCTCAGTGAATTTGATGAAGTTGTTCAACTCTTGACCAAAGCGTGCCCATATGGCAACTTCTTAACCCACTCTAGCTGCTGACATGTCAGTGCCTTGGGCATGCACAGCCTTCCGATTCCCCAACTGTTCTTAAGTGAGGTCAGCATCTCTAGGGGCAAAAATTACTATCTCCAATAACATGTGTATAGAACAAGTTTAATGTAACATTATTGGCTGATCAGAGTGTTAATGGATGATAGCGTATTACAGCATATCCAAGCTTCTATCCCTGCCAACTGGTAGGAACCTAAGGGAACCTTAGAAACCTAAGGGAAACACTATTATAAATAGAGTGAACCCTTCAGTAAGGGTTGCTTGTGCTGCAGAACACAGACTTCATATTTTTTTCCTGCTTTAGGTGTTGAACTACAGTATAAATAATTGAAAACTGCAGTTTTAAGCGTCAGCTGAACAAAGACTGTGTAAGATGCTTAATTGTCAGAAATAAGTAGTTGTGCTTTTTGCCTTTTTTGGAACAAGTAATGAAAAATATTGTCTTGCTCTTATATGTTTGCACTAGCTTTGTGATTTAAAATCAAAGTAGCTTTGTAACCTTTCATTTTGCAGTGTTAAGGTTTCTGCATTCCACTTTAAACAGGAAATGTAAGCTATCCTCTCCTCTTCGATTTCAGCAACAGCACCAAATATACATGAAAAAAATAATACAGCTTGTGTAAATACAAATGTATTTTATTCCTGAAAGATGTAGTCCCTGATATGTCCACTATCAGCTTGTGACTATTTTGTGCCAGAAGACCTGAGTCTTTTCATGTGTAGCTGTTGACAAAATTTCAATGAGTTTGTCAAAAACAGTAGTCACAGTTCCTGAATGTGTTGATCCACCACTCATGCTGAAACCAGTGGGAGCTTCAGGTTTTTTTCTGCTGAGAAAAATGGTCTCAGTGTGTCCTAGAAGCCAGGAGATGTTGCTGGAAGCCACTACAGTGCCCATGCATTGCAGCTCTTTTAATCAAAGACATTCTCAACTTAAACTGCATTCTATACTAAAGCCTCATCTTTTCAAGGTGATTTTACTTATTTGCATTTGCAAATTAGGCAGCATTCAGATAAGTAGCAAATGTAGGTAAAAATAAAAGGGGAATAAAGAGAATAATTCTGAATATGTGGGGTTTGCTGAATGTATTATACCTTAAAAGGGCACTTATTTTACATGGGAGGAAGAACAGGATCCAAAATTCCTTTATTTGTGTTACTACTCACATTTTGAATTAGTAGCACTGCAGGCACTCTGATTACATTTAATTTTTCATTATTTCTGCTGTCTGTTTTGTTGTGCTCATTTATAAAAATGCCTATGCAGTAGCCTGTTTCTTCCTGTAGGCCATTCTCACTAAACTCAGTGTGGCTGTTAAGGGCTATTAGAAATACTGTAGGAGAACATTTAAGCTCGGTGATGTTTATACTGAATTTTTTTAAAATCACTTTAACATTTCAGCTGATAAAG